CTCGCGCGGCAACTCGAGATACAGCTTACGCCGGATCTACTTCGGACGTGCAGTCATCGGCCTGACCTAAGGAACGATAAATAAGGAACGGAGCCCCTTTCTATCCCAAGGAATAACGCACAAGGAACGATGAATCATACATCACGAATGAGAAACTGTAAATAGCGCATGCAAGCCTAAGGAACGACCGAACCCCTCTTGAAAAATAAGCGTTCCTTACTCAAGCCGCTCACTGTACGTCGGCTTCACGCCAGAAGTACGTCGGAGCTGCGTCGGAGCACCGCCGCCGCGCGCACGTCTTTCCACGCGTGGCGGGGCGGCCGCGTGGAGTATTATAGACAACACGAGCAGGGCACGCCGCGCGAGGCTTCCAGGACTTGCCTCGCAGCTCCAAGCGTAGCCTGACCACCCCCACGGACCTTCCCTGGGCACTCGACGACCCAGAGGGCGTGTGGTGACGCTCACGCGCGCTGGTCCGCAGGAGCTCTTGGGCGCCTACGATAACAGCGATAGCAGGGGTGTCGACTGTCGACCCCTGTCCTAGGCTTCGTGGGGTTCTCCAATGGACGAAAAATTTGGAGCCCAACCCTGGGATATACGATGGGGGGGCGTCCATCCTCGATAGGGATGCGTCCGAGCAGCTCCCTGGAGGTATAATTATCCTAGGCTTTCCCTCCTTTTCTGAGCGGCTCCTTTTACTAGAGGAAGAGAAAAACACATAAACATAAGCTTTCGACGGTCCGCGCGGATTTCTTGGATTCGTGCTGGGCCCTCCTCCCTGGTGCGCGGAGAGCGCCAGGGGCGGCGCCGAAGGCGCCGCCAGGAGGCCCCCGCGCGGATCCGAGAAATCCGCGCGGAGCGCCACAAGTCTATGTTTATGTGTTTTTTCCTCCTTCGATGTACACCTAGAGAAAAGGCGGTTGGGGGAGAAAGGTCGTCTGCGAAACAAGTGCTCTGCCGTCCAAAACCGACAGCTGCCGCTGCTGGAGCCTTCCTTGGCGGTGCGCACGAGGGGGTGGGGGGAGGGGGGAGGGCTGCTTAGACGGGGGCTGCTTCTCAGAAGGCGCCGGCCTCACACCTATGGAGATGGCCCGCGCCTTCCAAGAAGCAGGGGTGCTTCTAAGAAGCCCTCCCCTCTCCCCCCACCCCGCCCTGCGCGTGGCTGACCCTTAGTGGGCCCTGGAAACGACAGGGCCGTTTTTTTACCGGTTCCGTTTTGCCGTTTTCTTGCCGGTTCCGACGTCGTTTTTTCACCGGTTCCGTCGCCGTTGTTTGACCGGTTCCGGCCCCGGTTCCGATCCTGGAGCCGTTTTTTGTTGCCGTTCCTGGTCGCCGTCTTGTTGGCCGTTTCCATTTTCAAGGGACATTTTTGGGAAAACGGTGAAAAAACGGCCCTGCCGTTTCGGGGGCCCACAAAGCGCGTGGCTGACCCCCACCAATCGGCTATCCGCAAAAATTGCCCTGGGTAAGAGTGACCTTTGGTGCGCGGCTTTGGGGGGGCCGCGGGGAGGCCAAATCCAGACGCGCCAGCCGCTGCTACCGCTTCGCGTTCAGCCATCTGGGGGCCCATCTCTGCCCGCACTAAAGGTCACTCCGGCGAAAGGTCACTCTTACGTCTAGTCGAACCAAAGCGCCCCCCGCGAAAGCCCCGCCGCAGGCGCCGGTGTGCCGGCGGGCGCGCACGGCGACGGCCATGCGGCCAGGCGCGGCCACGGCGGCCGCGGCCAGCGGCGTGGCGACGAGGGGTCCCGAGATCCGACGGCACGAGGAAGCTGAGCCTACGTCGGGCGTGTCCCCCTACGGGCGGATGTGGGGCGACAGAGCAAACATAGCCAGAACAAACTTCGAACAATATATATATATATATATATATATAGAACAAATCGTCCCTGTACCATTGTTTTTACTATGCTTGAATATTCCCCCTGTGGATGGGGCAGGCCCGACTTGCGCTCAGCCCGCGAGATCACAGCGAGGGTCGGCAAAATCCTCGGCGAGACCTGTTGTCATATCCCGTGTCACGTACTCCCACTGGGTACGGCAGGAGGGAAGAGTCGATCGCTGTTCTACTTGCCGAGGAAGCCTGAGATCCGACGGCGCGAAAACACTGGAACGTTGTGAACGTCACGACTGGAGCCCTGGACCTACGGCAGGAGGGAAGAGTCGTTCGCTGTTCCAGTTGCCGAGGAAACCTGAGATCCGACGGCGCGAGAAAACGCTGGAACGTTGTGAAGGCCACGGCCGGAGCCCTATGGACCCCCTCTTCCCCTGCGCCGTGCCTCGAGCCGGATCGATCTGCCAGGGCCCTTGGGGGCCGAAGCGAAGGATTGCAACGAAGGGTTTTTTTTGCAATCCTTCGAACGAAGGGTTTTTTTGCAATCCTTCGTTTTTGCAATCCTTCGTTCGGGCGAGATCGCCCGTCGAGAGAACACTGCGACGCCCAGATCTCGGCGTCGACGGGCAGCGGCAGCTGCAGCGGCCAGACATCGACAGCCTACGT